TCTATTTATTTAATTTTTGTAAGAAATCAATACATGTTTTTTTTATAATCGCTTTTATCTTAAACACCTCTCTGCAGAAAGTAAACAAAACAACAACAAGGAGCTGCAAATTCAGAATACACAAGGGGCGGAGCTATCATGTCACTCAGAACCTTTCTCACGCATGAGTGAACAAAGCAGTCCAAGAAAGCAGTCACAGGGACTGCTGGGACTGCTGGGTCTGCTTTCTAGAGCAGTCCCACAGCAGTCCCATAGCGGTCCCAGAGCAGTCCCACAGCGGTCCCAGAGCAGTCACAGAGCGGTCCCAAAGCAGTCCCGGGGACTGCTTTCTGGGACTGCTTTGGTGTCAGGTTGGGTCTGGTTGGTACTGTATACTTACTAAAAATAGAAATTTCTCAAAAAATCTTGCAAAATGTTGTTCTTTCTAAAGATTCTGTCATTTTTCAACAAAACTTTCGTACAGAAGTAGACTTGTTGTGCATAGTTTTTTTTTTTTTTTTTTTTTTTTTTTTTTTTTTTTTTTTTTTTTTTTACAATGAAATTTTATTTCTATATTCCTTTTTGGTCATATGCATGTTGTCAAAAAAGATTTCCGTAATTTTTTTTTTCAAAATTCCACTTCTTCAGTTCAAACTCCAAAAACACTCTTGAATCTATAATTATTCCTAATGTCAGTTTTTTTTCCCATGAACTGTGATGGTCAGTAAGAAAGAAATGTGATTTTTTTTTTCAAAATGTAACTTTTCAAATAGTTTTTGGTGTGGTATTCAGTCAAATATAGTACATGTATAGACCATACCAAGATACACAATAGTATAAATTAGCTTTCGATAACAGCGAACGATGTTTGTTCGTTTATTTGTCTGTTTATTGTCCCTTCGAGAAATTTATACTCATATTGAGAAGCAACCACTTCCCGGGAGAGGGTCATCCGTAGGACCGGTCTCCGCTTTCCGCAATGGGATTCGAACCCCCGACATAAGGATCAAATCCTCTTTATATATAATTACTCCACGACTCTAGAGCAAACGCTCTAACCACTGCGCTACGCTGACCGCGAATGATGTTATCATGATTTTAAATAATAGCTTACTGTAAAATGCTTTCAAAACCTAACTACTGATGCAGTTTGGACATTTCAAATAAAATTCGTTTACGAGAACGTATCGTTCATTTCTTTTATGATATCACAAAAACAAAATACTTTCAAATTCTAATGTTTTCAAATTGATTTACAATTAAACCTATATACGTTTATAAAACATCAGAATATATTATACACTGTATATTATTCTGAAAAATCAAGTAAGGTATTTCAGATGTGGAAGATTCTTTTCTCTCCTTTTTTGATAAAAAATCTCCTAGGAGATTCCATACAATGAAAAACAGGACTTGTGAAATTAAAGAATCTTACGGACAATTGGTGTTTATGAGTACGTCAAATCAGATACATGTATGAACTTAGCATTAAAGCTATATATGGCGTATCTGAGCTAAAAAATAAAAATACGAGATTGAGTGTAGATGAACATGATATTTGTTATTCATGTTCAAATTAAAATTTTCACCGATTTTGAACTTGAATAACCCCACGTTTCTATAGTTAAATTGATTTTAAACTGTGTCTGATATTTAAATGCAGAGTCGGTAAATAAATCGGTTATTGTTTTAAATTTCTAATATCTATGAAACACGATTGATTTAAATTGTGTAAATTACAGGAAAGCCCTATCTTTATATAAAGTAATAAAACAAATAGAAAGATTTTTTTTAGTTTTAGTTAGTCTAAACCTAACAAAAAATACGCCATATATGACTTTAAATCTTAGAAATGAAACAGTGTTTCAGTGTATATAATATAGATAACAGCAATACCTTTTTTACTTTTATTTTTCGGATAAGATGTTTCTTTTTGAAATACTAGTACTTATACTGTGCTTGAAATATTAGCATTTTTTTTTTAAATATTAGTTCAATTTGAATAATTTGTTACTAAAAGAGAAACAATGATGCATAAATGATGTCATTAACATATATGTATAGAATTTTGAAAATAACGTACTTCGCATTTAAAAGTTTAACAGTAAAATTTTATAGTTATGCTTTTTTTAATGCATTGTCATTTGTGAACTTTGCATTTCTAATTTCAGATGCCATAATTGAACACATCTGAATTAAATAATATGAATTAAATAATACAAAAATACCTCCATGTGTTGAGATCAAAATGTTCTGGTCCCTCTGGGACTCTTGGTTTAATTGATTGATTGCATGTTGTTGTACGTCTCATTCGAGAATTTTTCACTCATATAGGGACAACACCTAATACCAGTGAAGGGCTTCAAATTCAGACCTATACTCGGCACTCAGGGACATTGAGCAGTTAGGGTTCTTTGCTTGGCGAAGAAACAGTCACTACCTATGTTTATGTCTTAGGTTTGACGCGGTAACCCGAACAAGAATTGATCCCGGGCCTCTCGATCACGAGGTGAACGCCCTACCACTAGGCTACCGGTCGTGGTTAAATTGATTAAAGCTGGCTATTTATAATGCCTATAGTTACAGAGTTACACCTAAGTATAGTCGTTGTATACCTCCAGTGTTATGTACAGCGTCCTTAGTCTGTTCAACATATGATTTTGGAAATGAGACAGAAATGATTTTTTAAAAATATATTTACGTAAAGTGTTTAGATAAAGTTCCATAAACTGTATGTGTCGCTGAGGGACATCGTCTGATGGTTAGACAGACATGAATGACAACAGATCAGGAGTTACAGAAAACAGAGGCAAATCCTTTTCATCGCATGCGAACCAAAGAACTAAAAGAAATCAAAATGATATTATCAATTATATAATCAGAAACAAAAGATATGAAAATACAAGATTGAATTGTACGTATATTATTTTACGTCCAATTTGAGAATTTTTCACTTATATAGTGACGGTACCATAACCCGTAAAAGGTTTTAAATTGAGACTTTACTCGGCACTCAGGGTCATTGAGCAGTAAGGGATCTTCATCGTGCCAACGCCTTACGTGACACGGGGCCAATGTTTTTAAGATGTTTTTAAGATGTCAAATCTCAAATTCATCGGGAAAGACCCGAATCTTTCAATTTAAAATGCTTTGCGAAAGCACAGTTGCTACCTATTTTTTATCCACTTAGGTAAGTCGAGGCCGGGGTTTGAAACCACCACTTTCCGATCACGGGGAGAGCGCTCTCAAATTCTCTTTTTTTTCTTTTTTTTTTTCTTTTTTTCGTTGCTTGTTAGGTAGTTTTGGAAGTTGCCCCCCCCCCTCACACTTTTGAAACCGTTGCTACGGGCCTGCAATAGTATACTTAATTGTATGAACCAAAAAAAATACAGTAGGATTTCAAATAACCTTGAAATAAAATTTGTCGAAATTTGCACGAAATGCGAAAGTTTACATCACCCCGCTCCTTCTGTAATTTATCAATGAAGTGGGACTATAAGAGGCTCATCTTAAATTAAAAAAAAAAAAACTCTTTTCGTGGGAAAATTATCTTTCTTAACTAAAACAAAGTAATTCTATGAATCCTGCCCTGACTTAGATATTTTAATTCATATCTAGTCAATGCTTTATAACTAATTTACATTTGAAGCGGTAGACTGGAACAAAATGTCCTTCAGATTGTTTCAGAGCTTCCAATTGACATACTTCCGATTGGATATATATACATCTTAATTTTGGGGTTATTTTTTATTTTCTGAACAAGATGTGGTTTCTTCGTACAGTACAATTTCTAGCAATCATTAATGAATATGGATACCTCTGCATCGGTAAGTCGAAATATTTTCTGATGCATGAAAGCTGATTTTTTCCCCATATTTTTTTTCCTTTTCTTTACGAGAAATGAATTGGCCCATTGATTAGTAGTAGTAGTAGCACATATAGTAGTAGTGGTAGTATTTGGAATATATGAATAAATTAAAATTTTAGTCTGACATTTATTTCAGATATATTTTATGGTATTTATATACTAGGTTGAAATTTGAAACGTTCCATTCACAAATATAATATCAAATTTTTGACATATTCTTTTCTTTCGATAGTGATATTTTTGTCATGTGAAATCCATGCATATCACAACAAGCGAAAAGAGAGACAGTTACATTCTGTAATATACAGTAAGGAAATTTGTTGACATCGGTATTTCTAAATTTATTTAGGAATTATATTAATTTTTATTCTTTTCTTATAAAATATTTTGGAGGTTACCCTTTTTTATGAATCACTGGGTAAATTCCTAGATAAGTCTGGTACAATCACCAATGACTTCCGATAGAAAACTTCGAGCTTAAGTTGATATAATTTAAGTGCACCAAACTGAATCATATGGTTTGACATTCTAACGGCCTGTATTTTAACCATTTAAAAAGAACTATCTACAATCTGGGACAATTAAAGGCACGAAAAACTGGAAACTACTAGCACAAACAGGACACTACTTCAACAATTATTCGAATACCTAAATATGCCTGTTAAACAATTAAATCCCAAAATCATATCTCAAAATATATGTGTACAATTTTTAAATTTGAAGTATATCGTCCAATATTCAGACGTTTTAAATGTATCGATTTGAGTTTTTTTTAAGAAAAATTAGATCACGTAATATTTATTGAAGAATAATCAGAAAGAGTAAATAATGAATTAATGGCATAATTTCTTATCTATTGATGTGTAGTGTGCATATTTTATTGACAGTATATTTATGTTATATCATTTATTGCCTCCTGTGACTCTGATATATATATATATATATATATATATATATATATATATATATATATATATATATATATATATATATATATATATATATATATATATATATATATATATATATGACTAATTAGACTGTCAATATCCGTGTCCGATTTCTTGTTTTTTTAACCTTGTCGATTTACCAAAAAATGATTCTTTAAAGAGTGAAAACATTGCAAACTTTTATCACTTATATTACATATCAGGTATTTCTGGTGACAAGGGTTTGATAATTGGAATGTGGAAGCCTGCCTTGATATTCACAGTCACAGAAATACCTAGAAGTCCGGCAAACTATTACAACAACGTGTCCAAATCTCTCACTCCTTCCAGTGTACCCTTAACCAGCATTTCCTCAGATCCAAAAAATAACGTTGTCTTTGCTAGCATTGGAGATTCCATTTTTGCATTCCAAAATTTTACCATCTGGCAGAACGAATCATCAGCATCCTTTTCAGTTGCATTCAAAGGAAAATCTATACCACTGGGTCAAATAGCATTTGATTATATTTCAAACAATTTATACTGGTGTGATTCGCCGCTGAACTGGATTGCAATGAAGCCAGCGTATGTGGACAACATTACAATATATAAAATCATTGTATACACCGACTTAAAGCAACCGGAAGGAATAGCCCTTGATCCTGAGGACGGGTAAAATAAATTTTTACTTTGTTATAATAGCTTATCAAAGTCTCGAAATAATGACATCTTGTTTGCAAGTCGAATGTTGATTGGTATGTTTCATACAAATTGTTAGACCATTATTTTCACACTGAAATGTCCACGAATTTTTTCCGTTTACCAGATCAGACCGGTCGATAGAGCATGCTTACTCCTCCATGGCCCCTGATCCCGCCTCTGTTTTCAGAGATCCGTTCTGGCTCTGCTCATAATTTGTATTGAAAAGCTTTATAATAAACGTGATGAATTCAACTTTTCAATCGTCAGCTTCCCTTAATTGTGTAGCAATATACTCTTATCACCTGCTTATGGGGTTTATGTCTCTCAGTTGATTCGATACGCAAGAGCATGCTCCACGTATAAACAATTTCTAAAACAAGGCAAGCTATTGACAAACATGTTGACGAAACAAGGATATCAACAGTCTCGTTTGAAGTCATCTTTTCGCAAGTTTTTCGGTCGATACAATGACCTTGTCAGCACATACAACCTATCATTGAGTCAAATGCTGACTGACGTTTTCCATACTAATTGTTAGGCAATTATTTATACACTGAACTGTCTACGGATTTTTCCGGTTTTTGTTTCCCGATCATGACAAGGAACTCACGGCGGGTGTGACCGGTCGGCAGGGGATGTTTACTCCTCCATGGCACCTGATCCCACCTCTAATTTTTGAGGTCTGTGTTTTCTCTGCTCCAAATTTGTATCGTTTCATTGGACTTTTGAGATTGAATACTGTTCATTATGTTCATTCAGCAAGACTGTACCGATACTAAATTCTTGTTTATGCTAAGTGAAAATAGATATCATGCAGTAGAGTACATTCGTGACTTTATTATTTTAAAGTGAGAAAAATTCTAATAACAGAAATTATTTTTCCTCTATTTATCATTCAACGCTTTATTATGTCTTTATATTATGTCATCTGCATTATATGTTTATTTACGTGCATATAAAAGTGTCCATACAGACGTTATATACATAAACATAAAATCATTGCTAGATTTTTCTCGTTGTACTCAAACAGGCTGATGTTCTTTTCTGACAATGAACCAAAATCAAGAATCCAAAAGGCCTCCATGGATGGAAAAAATAGATCTGTTATAGTGTACACTAGTTTGATACGGATATTGGTACTTTCTGTCGACGCTACCAATAATCTACTATACTGGGCAGATATAGGCAGGCAGACACTAGAAGTAAGCAACTATGATGGGTCAAATAGACTAGTTCTGAGACGCAATAACAATGTTGATGTTATAGGACTTCACTACAGTCAGGTATTTAATATAAAAGGTGATTTCATTCATCTTCATATTATCAGCTACAAACCCAAACCCATTTTTTCCTGAACCTTGTGTAATCCATTTATTAATAAATCATATATATGAACAATGCAAAATATTGAAATCACAAAATAATTTAAAACTGAATCCTGTTATTTAAAACAACCCCTCCCCCTTAATCTTAGTTTCAAAAGTTGATACATATTCCTTATTATGATTTTTTTTTACTCTCTATCACCAACCTTTTTAATTTCCTAAGAGATCGTATATAAGGTAAATAATTTGATCACAAGTAATATGTCATAATCATAAGGATTAAATTAACCAAAATTTGGGATGTTACAACTCTAGCAAGGTAGACTAACGAAAAAAAAGAAAATGAAATGTTGTATTCTGATACACATAAATGCCATTTGCTTAAATTATATAAAGATGTTTTTTAATGATGTATGATATTTTATGTTTTAAGTCAATTTTTGTGTAATTAAGTATGAATTGAACTCCTGTAATAAGCTGACTGAAACAAATAAAAAAATGATACATGGAAATTTTTGCACATGAACGCATAGGATGGCCTGGTTTCTCGGCTGGAATAACTATTTTTTTCGATAACAGAAATGTATAGATTAAACTGTCAAATAAAACCAAAAATTCTAACCAGAGAGTAAAGAAACGAATTTCCTGCAGGGCCTGCAAATAACCACACACACACACACAAAATATTTTTTTAGATTCTCTACACTTTGATGCTTTTTTTCATCTCATTTATCATCACATTTAAGGGCACCTCCAGTCATAAATTTGTATTTAACTCATTAACTTTTAATTCAAAAGAGGTCATCTACCTGATATCTACCTACAATTTCGATTTTTTTTAGCTAACTACACATCCCACAAAGATATTGTTTGTTTTGACCGGTACTTCAATTATCAAATAAGTATCTTAATCAAAGAATAGTTTGTGACTGTAGGTGCCCTTTAAAAGATAGTATGTTTTTTTTGATAAAGTAGATTTGTTTTATTTTATTGATCTACTTTTCGTCATTTTTGCTTTAGAATATGTTGCATACTGTAAGTGCTGGATCTAGAGTCTTATTTGGGGTGGACACAATATCGGGATCAGAACTTTACAATGTAGAGGTGACTGAAGCCCAGCCGTTTACCGTTCACGTTTACGATGCAGAGGTCTCAAATTCATACAACGGTAAATAATTTACACATCTTGTGTAAAACACATTTTTAAAGGCCTGTCGAACATACAATGGCAGGTGCCTGATTTTTTAATGATTAACTTGTTAAAGTGACGCTTTAGTTGTCCTTCTTTCAATGTTTTGTGTGTGTTAATGATTTAATTACGATAGTGCAGTGATTTTTTAACTTGAAATGTGCATATCAAGATCAGTTTTGAACGATCTTTGTCATGAGGAATATGAAGTTTATAGCAATTTTTATATTTTATAAAAACAAACTTTAATACGTTTTTGGTTATCGATAAGCGTTTCTTATTTGCTAGTTGTACTAGGACTTTCTTATATCTTTAGGTTGCTTCAGATAAATATCTTTTTTAAAAGAATATTTTATTCACAGATAAAAGTGGAAGGGGTTCGGTAGCTAGCAGGCATAGTTTATTTAAGCCCTCTTCTTATTGTTTTGTTACACAGATTCCTGTTCTACTCACAGTTGTCAGCATATGTGTGTTAACTCACCTACAGGAGCCACCTGCTTATGTGCCGAGGACTACAAACTCTCATCGGATGCAATGACATGTACTGGTATACATCATATTTACACAAAGAAAATAACGATTCTCATGGTAAACATACATGCCTTTCCTGAATATCTTTGGTTATTTATCTTTTTTAAATATTGTTCTTTGTTATTGACGCACCGGTTGTTAAAAGCATATTGAGATGACATTTCATTTACATATATATGAACATTTTCACATGTACTAGTATCATGGTATTTTAGTATGACATATAGCAACAAAGTCAAAGTTTTTATAATATTATTTTAAAAAAATGATAATTTAAGAAGATGAAACTAAGTTCATAACATAAGCTATCAAAACACTTTGGAAACAACCTTTTCAATAAAGAATAACCGTATTTTCAGAAAATCATGACAATTTTCAGTAGATTGGGGAGACATCGCTGTATTTAGAGGCAATTTACTATAACTTACAGTAAACACTGAGATCAGGCATTGGTGAAAATGAAAATTTTGTACAGAATATGATGTATCCATTTTAGAGGTTGACAGTTTAGTTTTTCTTATTTATATATATGCTGAATTAATAGTCTGTTTATTTATTTTTAACCAACAACAAAACAAAAACAGAGCACTCATTGTTTTACGAAAAGGGCTTCATTGTAAGCAATGCGACTGCGTTTACCATGCTTAACGTCCATTCTGTTAATGGGCAACAAGACACTATCAAGTACTTAAGTGTTCCTTCTGTAAGCATTGAGGCATTTGCTGTGGACACGAACTTACATCTTATCTACTTTGTGGACAGTAACAGTAATACATTAAAAGAGTTAAGCATTGTTACTCGACAAACAAGAACGTTAGCATCCATCTTAAGTGCTAGAGGTATGTTTTAAAGCATAACTTTACAAATTACATTATAATAGTATACTAATGCAACATTTCTTTGTCCAAATCATCAATTATATAATTTTGGGAAAAATCCATTAAAAATTATAGCTTTTTCTCATTAAAACATTCTGTTGCGCCTATTAGGTCACCTGAGTCACTCAGGGTCCCTATTACCATCTGTTTTCGTTCGTCTTCGTGCGTCAGGTGTTAACATTTGTGCATTTTTAGCTTCTTCTCTGGAACCGCTGAACCAATTTCATCCAATTTTGGCATAGCTCATTTATAAGTGAAGGGGAACAAAAGTTGTAAATTTTATGATCCCCATCCCCTGGGCCTTAGGGGTGGGGTTAAACCATCAAAATTAGTGTTATCTTTAATAAAAACTTCTTTACTCCTGCACATCAAGCAGTCAAACTATTGGAATGAATGTACCAATAAGCATTAAGCCCTCTACCAAAATTATGATATTCCTGGCCCCCGGGGTCAGGGATTTTAGAGTTAGGGTGAGGCTATAATTATCATATATTGAAAATGCATAAATTATTTTTAAAAAATCTTCTTCTCTCCCCCTGTATGTAAAGGAGATAAATTAGGTGCTTGCTTATGATGATCAAATTAAAGGTGCCTCTTCCACAATTATGAAATTTGTGGCCCCAGGGTGAGTGATTCTGCGGCAGGAAGGTGGGTTTTATTAATTATAGAGTGAAAGTGCATTATTTCTTTGAAAATATTTTTTTCTCTTTTCCTGTGTATGAAGCAAACAAACCAAATAAATAGTTATAATGAGCAAGACCTCCTCTTCAAAAATTCTTATTTCCATGGACCCTGGATAAGGGGAACTCCTTGTGTTAGGGCAGGTCCCTATTGATTATATAGTGAAAATGCGTTTAAGCCTCTGAAAATCTTCTTGGTACTTAGCAGATACAGTGCATGGTTGTGATGATCAAGAGTGCATTTTCCAAATTATGAAATTTGTGTCCCCAGAGTCAGGGATTCGGGTTGGGGAGGGGAAGGGCTGGTTAAATATATGGTGAAAATGCATTATTTCTTTGATAATCTCCTTTTCTGCCCCTAGAAACTACATTGTAAGTGCAAAGTTATAATGAGCAAGGGTTCCTCTTCCAAAATTGTGAATTTCATGGCCTATGAGTCATGGGTTTTGTTTTTAGGGTGAGGTTATATTAATTATAGTCTGAAAATGAATTGATTCTTTGAAAATTCTTTTTTATTCTCTGCTCCTGGGTTTAATTAAGAATATAAACCAAGTACACGGTTATGATGCTCAAGAATGCATCTTCCAAAATTGTGAAATTTGTGGCACCAGGGTCAGGGGTTGGTTGGGGGAGAGGGGGGAGGGGGCTCTTTTGAAAGTGCATTATTTCCTTGATAATCTTCTTCTCTGGCACTAGTTTTTAAACAAACAAACCTAGTGCATAGTAATAATGATTAAGGGTGCCTCTTCTAAAATGTGAATTTCAATGGCCTCTGGTTTTAGTGCTGGGTTCTATTGATAATATACTGAAATTGCATTAATTCTTTGAAAATCTTCTTCGATTCCCCTTGTATTTAGCAGACAAACTAATTGCATGGTTATGATGAGGAAGGATGCCTTTTGAAAAAGTTTAAACTTCATAACCCCTTGGTCAGGTGTTTAGTGTTAGGGTGGGGATCATTGAATCATTGAATCTATAGTAAAAATGCATTATTTTTTTGAAAATCTTCTTTTATGCCTATGGATATATGGCAGTCCTTTTAAGTTAATGGTTATGATAAGCAAGGGTGCCTCTTCCAATTCTTTGGCCCCTTGGTCAGGGGTTAGGGTGGGGCTATACTGAATTTATAGTGAGAATGCATTATTTCTTTGAAAGTCTTCTTCTCTGCTCGGGGGCATCTAAGAGACAAGCAGAAATTTTTAATTTGCTATAAGCAAGGATATTTATACCAGATTTTTTTAAAATAATTTTTAATGGTCAAGTAGACTTTTAATAATAGATAAACAAACAATGGGATAAAAATACCTTATCATTGTACATTGAATCTTCTTCATAGATTAAGAGAGCCATTGTCAAAGGGAATTAGATGGTTTTACTAAATGTCCTCAAGAACTTCTGTTTTGTTTAGCCCACATGGAGATAGTGACAAATTGGGCAATTACAATCAAGAAAATGGATCAACTTTAACATTTGTTACTTAGCACTTAATTATTTTGCTGATCCCTGATCATCCTATTTCTCTTGCTTTTGGCCAACATAGCTTCATTTATTAGCTTATTTTGTTCTATGGATTCTTTGTAGTGTTACATGTACATTATATATATACGCAGATGCCTTTAAGATCATTGAGCCTCTTGTTTATTACTATAAATAGGATTTCTCTATCAGCCAACGAGAAAACTCATCTATAGCATTGTTAATTTAATTTTAAAATCAAACTTCATTATTCCTAGACCTGGTTTTTGACTGGATTGGGAATCTTCTAAGATGGATTGATCTTTCCCAATCTAACATACAGGTCTTCACAATAAACTCTGGAACAATTTCAACCATTTATTCAGGACTTGAACAACCAGTATCTCTTACTGTCGACGCTCACAATGGGTTTGTTTAAGTATTACCACATACCTGAGTTTTAGAGAATAAATCTGATGTATAAATGCGTCACTAATATTTTAGATTTCATGTATATTAAAGCTACCTCTTCTGGATACCAGGGACATCGACAAAGTCAAATTTGCAAGGAAACTGGAATGGAAGTGCTCATGGTATTATAGTGTCATCTGCAAACCTAGATAACCCAAGTTCACTTCATTATGATGTCACAAGCCATAGGTAAAGTCACATGCAATATATGATTTTTTATATTTATATTTTCCATTTACATTATCAAATGTAAGTATTTTATGGAAACATAAATCACAAACGTTATTGAATCTTAATTCAATTTTTCAAAAAGTTTACGAAAACGAATATTTTGTTACCCTTTACCCAGTATTTTATTTTGCTTATTTAGTCATTTCGATTTAGCTTTCTCGATTTCACAAAGCAGTAGCACTTCTCAAATTAAGGAATATTTCCTTTATCTACGTTTACAAAAATGGCCAAGATCCTTTTAGTGCAAGCCGATGTGAAAAGGCGATAGAATGAGGCATCTCAATATTAAACATGGCATCCCCTGTATAGAATAAATTCAATATACTCTCTATGAAAGATTAACAATGAATAAAGGATATGCATTAGTTTTAATGGTCTATTAAACATCCCTAAATAATATTCTCTTTAATAATAAAATAGTAAAAATACATTTTTTCATTTGTTAAAAATCACTTGATCCGCTTCTCACCGCACGTAAAATGCTTTTAATTTTACCACGGCATGTAGTTTATACATGTACATTACAAGTGTACCTAACAACCAAAATGCATTTTTGGTGTTAATACTCTTATACAGTCAAAATAGCAAATCCTTTCATTTTTGGTATATGAAGATTTTTTTCTTATTTTTGTGCGATGTCAAGAATATTTCCTTCGTAAAGAACCACACACGCTAACTCCGGATTCCCACCTACATTTTACATCCATTTAATTCGATATTAATGGTAATTTGACCATTAAAACTTGTTTGAATGCGAAGGAGAGTTCATTAGTAATTGATTTATAATTTTAAGCCCGGTGTCAAATAATTAATTGCTCTTAGTTACAATCTCTTTTATATGGGGGTAGAAAATGTTATCCATTAAAATCGAGCTTTGAAAAATCACCAGATTTTCAAATACTCATAGAAAAGGATAAATGATCATTAAATCTGTTCGTATGTTTAACTGAATGTAAAATTCAACATATAAAATTGATAAAGTACATTTTTCAATTATCTCATTTGAAAATGGTAATAAAATGACAATTTTTGCTGGCTTTTTTTTTATCTGTAAACATACCCCCCCCCCTTTGGTGAAACAACAAAATCTTTGGTATGAAAAAATATTTTCCTTTTATTTCTGTAGTGAAAACACAAATTTTACTAAACGATAGAGATTTACCTCTCTTTGTTTTCCAAAATAAGTTATGTTTTATAAAAACTCATAGAAATATCTATATGAATGTGCAAAAATCATTCAAATATGTTAACTTTTGAAAATTGACATGGAGGCAGGCGGCAGGACAATGCTATTGTAAGCAGTTCTTAGGTCCCGCCTTTAACGGTGCTGCGTTAGATAATTTGCATATTTGAAGCATTTCTGAAATGCAATCAGGATTAACGTGAAAATAATGAACAGTGATAGATCTTAATAAAGATTAATCAGGTAGAAAGGAAACAGAAGACTAAAATTAGTTTGTAATATGCCGGTCAAAATATTTCTAATGGTGTTGTATCCTTATTTCTCATTATATCGCGGGTTCCATTGTATCGCGGTATTTCCCAAAAATTAGGATACATAGCTCATATCCTTTTTTGTTGATTAACTATCTGTCTGTCATCTGAATGTTGACTTTTGTGATGACTAAAAAGTATGGAACACCCGTTGGAAAAATATTTATTCAAATAAAACGTAATTTTTCAGATTTCCATTCCCGTTTTTATTTTATTTAGACCATTGAATATATAACGAAGTAAAATTCATAATAAAGTTCATATTTTGAAAGCCCTAAGTTTGTATTATTGTTTAGTTTTCATGTAGATTACATCATACATTAAAAAATAAAAATTGTACTTTGTGGCATCGCCAAGCTTTCAAGTTTTTCAATACCGCGATACAATGAGACTTTTCACTTTAGGAAGTAAATAAGAGTTCCTGTTTTAAAAATAGACGACAAAGTAAACGAAGAAAGATTAGAAAATAATTAGCCACTAAAAATTTAGGCCATTGATAGGTTTATGAAAAGTATTGGGTGAAAAGTTAATGTAAGAATTTGGAATAACTTTTTTACGCAAAAGAAATAAGTACCGCGATATTATGAGACACCAGTACATTATAGCAAAAAAGTCAAAACTGAGATTGAGATTAATTTCCGAGAATGGTGCAATTTGTATTATTAACACTTGAAAAATGATTTTCTCTTCAAGAATTATATCTTCTCATAACACTGATCTCGAACATTTCTCACAAAATCCAAACCTCAAATTTTAATCATTTAACTTATGAATACTGATTTTATTGGTAATTATTGTATCAAATGGATTTTACAACTTGTATAGATACCATAATTATATGTAATATACATGTATAACTGATGCTATGGATTTGTATTTCCTGAGGTCGAAATGATACTGAGCATTGTAAATCCTTTCTTCCTGTGTTTTGTGAGATACGATTAGACGAGCAAATTCAAGGAATTGTGGTTTCCCGCTCTCAGTGGTTGGGATGCAATTATTAATGACATATGTAGCTGTTTTGTCTCTTTGTCTTGTAATGTTCAACCATTATACAAAAAAGATTAAAATTTTTGAATTTAGAAAAGTTATTGCTAATATTAAACTTTATAAAACTAATCAAACTTCATGATCAAGATCATGAAGTCAAATACAAGAAGTCTGTGAGCCAATTCTCATTATTAATACCCCCGCTCTGTTGTGAATGTACGCTGTCATATGAATATATACAAGTTCAGTTGCATAAACAATGAGTTTGCTAAAACTCGAAGCATCTGCCTTGAGAAGTTGCTATGAAAAATGCGACGGAAATTTGGTACAGACAAACGCACGGATAAACAGGGCGTTGACATTGGATTTGTACAAAAATGAATCATTCCATTATGCCATATTATGGCATGTCAAAACAAAGAGTGTGCTAAAATTTCAAGCATCTGCAAAGAGCAGATTCTTCTTCCGGAGCGGGAGTATAAAATGCAATCCGAAGATGAAGATTTTTTTGTTTTATTTTTATTTTAAGGATCTACTGGCTTGATAACTCAAGGATAAAAAGTTCAATGATCAATGGATTTGACATCAAAACATACAACAGAAACACCTTTGGAGCAACAATGACAATTGTTTATAAGGTTGATATCAATGGTGCCTACTACACTTTTACCTTCTTTTAACTATGGTTGCAGCTATATTTGTCTGTACATTTATTTGCAAACGTGCAAATAATATACTGTAATCGTTATTCTAAATACCCCGTACAAGTGGAAATTTTAGCGAGACGCAAAAGTAGCGCCTGTGGAAAGCTGCAAATCTTGTCCTATACTCGGCACTTACGGCCATTGAGCAGTGAGGGATCTTTTTCGTGCCAGCACCCACTGCGACACGGGACCTCGGTTTATACGGTCTCATCCGAAGGACCGGTCTCCACGCCCCACAGTGGGATTCGAACCCGCGACGTAAGGATCAACTCCTTACTTCGCGACTCTAGAACAGACGCTCTAACCACTGCGCCACGCGGGCGACGAGAGATAATTATAACAACCGATATGGAACATAATCCTTTGGTGTTTATAAAAATTGAAATAAAAATAATGACTGAGTCATATAAAGAAGTCCTGAAACAAATTACAATGCAGAACTAGAGAACTAAATTAAAATTCTTACTCATGTCGTGCATAGAGTAGCATCTTGCTGGTGGATCAGAGATATTAGCAAAAGGATTTTAATTAGAGCTTGAAACTTGAAAAGTCCCTCTTAGATTTCTTCGTGTTTGGTTGTTTAAAACCGATACAATTTATTGGAACTACTTGGAGACCAGAAAGGTTATTTCCTCTTTTTTGTTTGTTTGTCTGTTTGTTTGTTCTTTTTTGTTTCTTTATAAAGATTATAATTTAATATTAAGATTATCATTTTATTATACTTGCTAATTTTATTTTTTCATTACTTTATTTATAAATAGACGAATAACAAAGGTAGACAAATCAACAGGGTCAAAAATATTAATTTTATGTCAAAGCATCCAGAGCTTGGGCGACTTGACAGTTTAGCAATATTTATAGATGACATATATGTTGATGGTAAATCAATTTACATTTTCGTTTTAAAGCAACTTTTACTGCAACTAGCTACTACAAACGAAGATGGGTGATAAAGCGTCTTTCAATTTTCAGTAAGCGCAGTTTGTACTAATGGGAACGGTAACTGCAGTACATTCTGCTTTCCAACACCAACAGGAAGAACATGTGGATGCCAGGATAATGTTAATTTACAATCAGATAAAAGAACATGCCAAGGAGGTTAATATCATTTTGTTAATTCCGACCATTATCAGATAAAAAAATGCTTTATTAAATTATTACACATTTTGTAATTGAAAATTTTTGTGTTGAAAATATGAGTTGAAATTATTATATATAAGAAAGCCTTCTTGATAATGTTTTTGAACAGTCTCTAGATATTCTACGTCTCTGCTAAATGTGAACATTCTTAACTGTTTGACAGACTTGGAACATCAACTTCAATCTGAATACAGGGTTGTTACCGACACATCTTTTCCATGTGATAATTTCCATCTCCATCTCTTTATGTTCATGTTTATTAATTTATGTATTACACTGTATTTGTTATTTCAAAGTAATATGACTCGCAGTTCTATATTGTATGCAAACGGTGTTCTGATCTTGTTCATATATATTTTGATTTTAATATATACAACTTGAGTTGACGAAGTTGCCTATCGCAAACTACCCTTTAACTTCTTAAGCTATGTAACTCCGAAGCGTCGATTTGCATTCAAAACACATCATTACATTTACAGCTCGGTTTTGATTTCAATATGCAGAGTATGAACGTAAATACAGACACTTTGAACAAAGGGATCTGTCAACTACATTTCAACACATTAGCTGCAATAACACATGACCGGTTTGAGCACGTGACTGTCAATAATAATTTTTTCAAGTGTTGCACATAAATTTCATCGGCGCAAGTGCATAACACAATCTTATAAATTTATATTTTGTTACAAAAATAAAAAAGATTATTGTATCCTAACGTACCTAAAAATGCTTGGGATGAGCCGTAGTATTATTAGTGTGCGAAATATGTCATGAGAATTTCTACTTACCCACACATTTGAGGGTATATTCCACTCTTCATCGTAATTTATTACAAAGCAAAGTATTAAACTTCCATCCCAAGCAGGATTCATTTAGAGAACATTCTCCTCTTAAGAATTTAATTTCAAAAAATAATTAAAGTTGATCCTTAATATTTACATTTCAAACTATTTTCTTTGAGGTGACTCTTTGAAAGCTCAAGGTGTTGATTTCTCAATAATTTCGCAACGTGAAAGCTCAAGTGCCCAATATGCATGCCAATCTGTAAAGTTGTCTTTGTGTCTAACGTCAGTGGGTGTGGAGTATGAACATTGACATGGAATCCATCGTGTGTTTTAAATCCATTAGACGGCATTTTTTTATTGTATTTTCTTTTTTATTTCAAATTTTTAAACGTAAATATAAAGAATCAATGTCTAGTTTGTTGGGTATGCCAGGGACATCAACGACAGTTTGGAACAGTGGAAAAATTGATACATAACGGACTTCGCCCGTTAAGCAAATTATCTCAGATGTCCAACTATTGTTGAGGCCATGGCATACATATACCCAGCAAACTAGAAATATATTCCTTTACTAATCACTTGCATCAGCCTGTTATTTACACACGTATAAATTCTATTTCTTACCTCGTTCCTGCAAATGGGACCATTTCAAAGTCAAGGTTTTGCAATATCTTATTAGTTACACTTAATTTTATTCTATAAAGTAATTTTATAATAATGATTACACGCCTTCAGACTTCAAATTAAAGATTTGACAATAATGTTCTTACACTTTACATTTTGTTTGATTGATTGTATGTTGTTTGTTGTATGTATGTATGTTGTTTAACGTCCCATTCGAGATTTTTTTCACTCATATAGAGACGTCACCGTATGTCGGTGAAGGGCTTCAAATTTAAACCTATACTCGGCACTCAGGGCCATTGAGCAGTGTGGGTTCTTTATCATGCCAGCGCCTACCATGTCACGAGACCTCGGTTTTTTAAGGTCTCATCCGAAAGACCCGTGACTTTCACTTTTAGTACCGGGCGCTTGGCGAAGGAACAGTCACTACCTATGTTTACGCCATAGGGTTGACGCGGCGCGGCGAATGAGAATCGAAATCCGGGCCTCCCGATCACGAAGCGAGCGCCCTACCACTCTGCTACCATGACCGGTCATTTTTATTTTAAATAAAACGTGAAGTTTATGACACTCTTTCCGTCATGACAACTCAAGTTGGCAGTGACTTGACGTCTTATTCAATTATGACGTCGTATCTTGGTAGTTCAGATAGGTGAATGCATAGGATGTACTGTGATATTTTTCTAGAAGTCTAACTTACCCGTTTAATCTTAATGTAAGGAGTTAATTTTGATTTTATCTGTGATTAGTTTTCAAAGTTTCTAACTTTGAAAGAGCAATTGTTATCAAAATGGCTTTGAATTATATCTACTTCCAAAGTGTAATGGTGTTTGTCCTTTTAATGTTCAGCATGCAAAAACCTTATTGAATCAATATTTTGATTTTTGTAATCTCCTTTTTGAGTTACATAATTCCTGATTTAGTATACCATCAACAAGTTTACAGGTATGTCTTGAGGAGATACATTACATTTACATTTACATTTGTTCTCGTAAGAGACTCTCTGTCCATCATCCATTGAGAATGCTGTTGTGTCATCCAGTTGTAGTAGAAGAGTCGATGAATCGTGTGAAATCACATGTTCTCAAAGTAACATATCCTACAGCTTACTTAATAGCTTTGTACCATTGAAGGCAACTGGAGCCAAGACACAAGAATAATTTGTTTAAGTAAGTCACTTCGTAAAATAAATAACATTCGAAAATTCATTTCTTAAAATACATGAAATCATGACATAAACAAAAATGTGTACATGTATTGTAGATTGAATTCGTCCTCTTTCTTTACATAATTCTTTTGTGTTTTTAAAGAAGTTGCTGATAAAGTAAAGGATAAATCATCTAAGGATGTTTACATAGGGTTATCCGTTGGTGGTGTCATTGCTATTTTCACATTAATTGCTACGATATTTTGCGTCATGAAGCGAAGACAACCTCTCTTGTAAGTTTTTTAAAACATGTATCAAACAAGATTATGTTGAATTTTTATTATGCATTGTCTTAGATTATATAACGTACTCTTGAGTATTCAAGGTCAGAAATTAAGAAACTATACAGTTGTTAAATGTCATGCATATAAGTGTTTTCATTTTTAAAATCACTTATTTTCGTAGGGTCTAATGCTCGCAAATTGAAGATGTTTCGCGGTGATTTGTTTTCGTGGTTGAAAAGTGTTGAGTTGTTATGTACTTCAATTTTTTCATTTTGTGCAGAAAATGAATTCGTGGGTTACTTTATTCCACATAACTAATGATTTGCTTCCAAAAAGCTTAAAGATTCCACAGTAATTATTCTGCTATCAAGATTCATGTCAGTATTTGAATTCGCATAACTCTGGACAGAACCTTCTTACACTCAGATTCACTTAGTTATTAATGAATTGATAATAGTTATTGTAATTAATGTCCTATTTTAAATTGTTTTTTAGAAATGATTACGAAGGAAGTCCTGTTCCTAAATCTTAATTACACGACATTCGAAAATTACGGATTTTCACCTGATGAGGTGCAGGATAGGTCACCGTCCAGTATTTAGAGTACTGAAGATGACATGCACAATAATGCAAAGGAAACATACCTAAATTTTTTTTAAGGTTAAAGATGGTTTTGGTTTTACATTTTTTTCTATAAATGTATAAAAAAAATTAGTTAAACTGATTCTAAACCAATTTCCATGTGTTGTCTGCATGATTGACTGTTCATATCAAGCCAGGCATTGAAAAAAAATTGGAAAGTAACTAGTGTTAAAAAACAGTATTTTTTAAGCTGACTTGAGCTGAAAGCTCAAGTAGGTTTTTCTGATCACATTTTCTTTGTAGTCCGTCTGTCCGTCTAGCTGTCCGTCCTGTCTGTTCGTCCGTCTGTAAACTTTTCATATTTTCGACTTCTCAAGAACCACTGGGCCAATTTCAACCACACTTGCCAGAAAG